AAAAATGTGAAGACACATAGTTAACATATCAATAAAAGAACAATTACATAAATGAAAAATATATATGAAATTTTCAAAAGGCAAATTTATTTTTTAAAAAGAATTCATAGACAATGAATTCAAAAACAATGAATTACATCTGCAATAGAGTGTGACTTTCAAAGGGTCTTATGGGGATGGTGGAGGGACAGATCATACCCTGATCATCAAAGTACATGGCCTCTGGAACCAAAACTTTGTGTTTAATTCCTAGCTTCACCATAGGTAGCTGGATGATCTTTGGCAAGTTACTTCATATCTCTTTATTCATTGATAAAACAGGTCATACTGGATAGGCTGGTATGAAGAATAAACAAACACGCAACCATCCTAGTGCAGGACGCATTTGCATTGTCAGTTTCATTCGGCATTAGTTATAGTAACAAACATGTAAAGTAATATGCACCATAGCCCAGAAAGGAAAGCATCTGCTGGCCTCAATGAGAGTCAAAGGGTCTTGAGCAGGCCTTGAGAAACTTTATGCAACTAAAAAGGGCAATTTAGGTATGCAAAGGCAGAAGGGCTTTGATCTCATTTGGGTCTGAAATGCCCCCAGAGGCCCACAGGCTGAAGGCTTGGTCACCACACAGCAGGGTTTGGAGGTGGAGCCTTGGAGCAGTGACTGAATAGGACTGCAGGAGAAGGGATTTCCCTAGAGGTAGCTCATTCACTTGGGGCAGTGCCCCAGATGGATTTGTTTGTCCCCAATCCCCCTCAATCCCCACCCCCTGCTACCCTTGAGGCGAGCAGCTTTGCTAGGCCCTGTGTTCCTTCCCACAATGTTCTATTTCACTACAGGCCTAAAGTTGATGGAACCAACTGACCATGGACTCAAACTTCTGGAGCTGTGAGCCAAAATAAGTCTTTCTTCCTTTAAATTGATTTCTCTTGGTATTTTGTCACAGCAACAGAAAACAGATTAACACAGGCTAAAGACAGCATTGCTGTTTGGGGAATCTTCATAGAGAATCCTGTTTAAAATGTTCAAAAGTAATTCTACAGGGAACAGCAGGTGTGTTGGGTAGGTGTGGTTCTGACTCTGGGTGGGATTCTGTCATGTGCTTTACAGCATGTCAGTTCACTGCACCTTCTCCAGAAAAGTAGTACTTTGAACTTCTCTGACCCCATCTAGTCTCTGACTCTCTCTTGGACTCTTCCCTTTTGTTTTCAATGGGGAAAGGCTGCATAGGCCTGGGCAGAACTCCTTCTGTTCTGCTTTGATCTCAGTCATCTGGTAACTCCTGTACTTCCTTCTCTAGGAAGGAGTGAGTGTTCGTGTGCTAGTCCATGTGTGTATATGGGTTTGCACACACTTGTATGCACGTGTGTGATGATGTCAAATGACAACCTTGGGTGTCACTCTTCAGGCACCATCTGCCTTTCTTTTAAAGACAGGGTTTCTCACTGGCCTGGAATGGACCATGTCAACCACTGAGTGAGTCCCAGGGACCCTCCTGTCTCTGCCTCCACAGTGCTGGAATTACAAGGGTAGACCACTGGGTCCAGATTCCTTCAAGCCTTGACCTTCTCATTGAGACCTGTCTCACTAACCACCACTTTGCTACTGCAGCATGTTTTGCTCTCTAAATTTCCCCCCACTGTAATTTTGTTGCATAGCCTCACAAAGTACTTTCCACATAGTGTAATTTACTTATTATATGATCCATATTAGAATAATAAAAATCTCCAAGTTAATTATATGTAATAAAAATGTAATGTTCCATTTTAATTGGAAGAAAAAGAGAAAGGGACGGGGGAATGGAAGCACACTATTGTGAAGACTGTCATCAGAGAGTCTCCAAGAGACCCACTGGGATGGGGTCCATGAGGCCTCACACTTATTCTGAACTTAATAAAAGAATAATCATGAGATAGGCAAAAAATACTGATAGAACCAAAGTTTTGGCTCATCTCACAGGCATGTCTCAAGTGCCAAGAACACTAACACTATCTTTCACATATGCTGATGAGACCTGTGCAAATGGCAGGTGCTGAGATGAAACACTGATTCCAGAGTTTATTTGAAATTTTCAAATACTGTCACGAACTATCAATAAGATATAAAATCTGAAAAAGTTTATTGTCTCCAGTAAGGTACTGTTTACTTGGAATTTCAGTCATAAATGTACTCTCCAGTTTGCTTTTAAAGTATCTGCCAAGAACTGTGAGATCACTATAATTTAATGGTATCGAAATGCTTCCGAAACTTCCCTACCAGAGAGCTGATTTAGAATCAGACAGACATCAAACAAGGTTCTACAACATGCTAACCATATGAACCTAGGCAAGTCACTCAGTTGTCTAGGCCCATTTCCTATCCAAAAAAGGGAGAACACCACCAATTTCACAAGCTTGTTGTTTCTAAGCTCACAAAGCAGTAATGTCTGGTGAGCACGTAGCGCAGTCTAGGTTACAGAACATTTCAGTAAGTGGAGTAAAGTATTATTATGATTTTGATATTATTATACTATTAAGTTCAGGGACTATTTTCCAGGGATGAATTCTAAGAGCTTCTTGGAAATAGTAAGTGTTTACAGGCCACTGTCAGGGAAAATAACAGCTGTAGCTGATGTAGAGTATCAAGATGAGAGGTTACAGGAGAGAAAGAGCCAGGATCTGCTGGCCATGACGGGAACCCGATTTTTACTCTACATGTAAAAAGCTATAGAAATGTTTGAGGCAGGAAAGTGACCATGGGGAAAAGGCTGCAAAAAGAAGAGATGAACAATTAAGGAGGTTGGCAAGGGAGTCCAGGGAGGAAGGACAGGGCCTCAGTTATTGTCATCTAGATGGAGAGAAACAGAAGTACCCCTGTGAGACGCTGTTGTGGAGAAGGTAGCTTCTATAGGACATGTTGGCAAAAATGGAGAGCAGAAGAGAGAAGGAAAGCCCAGGAGACTTCAGCTCAGGCAACTGAATGCAAATGGAGGAGATTAAGGCCAACAAGGGGAGAGGACTGTTTGGAGAACAGTCAAACAGCTCAAAGATCCAGTCTTATGCTCAAATGGAGAGGAAGACTAATATCACACCACAGGGAGCTAGTGAGAGCCAAGATTTCCCCTAGAAGTCAAGACCTCCCGGGGAACCACCCTGACCCTCTCACAGAAGCTGGCAGGACAAGACTAGAGGAAGTAGAGACCATGTACTGGTGTTAACCTAACAGATCTCATGAGGCCATATTTGCTGCCTTCCCTGTGCTGTTGCAGGCAATGGTGTCTGAAGGTTCCAGCCCCAAGACCTCCAGTCTAGAGACCTACATCTGTGATAGAAATACACAGTGATGCCAACTGCATTTTATGATGCAAACTCCTATAGCAGTTGCTGCAGCTACCACATCAGGATTTGAGTATCCATGTAATTAACTATAGTAGTCAAAATTAAAAAAAAAACCAAAAAACAAAAACCACCAAATCAATGACTACTATTACCGCATGACCCATCTTGCCCCCAAAGAATGACTGCCATCTAAGGAATTAAGGGACACTCCACAAGGATAGTGGGAGAGTTTTGCAGTTAAATTACATGACAGATTTAGGTGCTTGAGAAGTTTTAAGAAAGACAATAGACAATTCACCAGGTCCAGTATCTTTTGAAGAAAGGGAAAAAAAGGTTCAGGGTAGAATGAGAGAGAATGGTCTAGAGCAGGGAATATGTCAAACTCTAGAAAAAGATCAGGAGAATGCAAGGGGTGGACACTGAATGCACTGAACTATAAACGTAGGGTAGGGGAAAGGATATTAAAAAAAAAAATTCCAGAATGCATGGCAACCGGAACAAG